GGGCGGAGGGGGTCCTCGCGTCTGGCACCGCCAGCCCTGGGCTGGCTCAGCCTCCGCTCTCCCGCCTCGCACCCCTCCTCGCTCGCTCGTCCGTCCCTGGAGCCCCCAGCCCGCGTCCCCTCGCCCTGGCACACAGCAGCCTCCGCCTCGGTCCCCACCGCCCCCACACACCCCAAGCCCGGTGTGTGAGGGGTGGTCGCTGGCTCAACAGAATTCGATTTTGCAAGCATTTATCGAGCGCCCTCCAAGTGCCAGGCACGGTGCAGGAGTCGGGGCGGGGTGGGGGGGCGCTTCAAAAGCAAGCAAGGCTGAGGACCTCGATTTGAGATACCCCCAGGTTGCAGCCGGAGACCAGTGAGACGCGAAAATAACTCGCTGTAACAATGCAACGTGCAAGGAAAGATTTATCGGCTCACACTGCCCGGGGCGCGGGAAGGGAGGGAGAAATCGGCTGCAACGCCAGGCTCCTTTCTGCCCGGGTGTGGGGGTGGGGCGGCGGAGGAAAGGCGGGGTGTGCGGGGCTTCTCCTGGGGCCGGGCTCTGAAAGGGCCTGGCCATCGCCGACTTTCATTGTGCTGTCTCGGTGGCCTAGGTCCTCCGACCACTTCGCATCCCATCAGCCCCTGAAACAGACCCCATTATTACCTCAGCTCTGTCTCTGAGGAGACCCGAGGCTCAGGGGTGGAAGGGTGTGTGAAGGAGTGGGCTGGAGGGGCTGGGCGAGTAAGCAGCTGATTGTGGGTACTAGAGGATGAGGAGCGGGAGATCAGGCGCCCCCACCCCCGTGACCAGGAATGTCCAGTGCTTAGCTCGAGGTCCACCTTAAGTCAAGGAGAGAAAATGGGTCCTGCTCCTGCGTCCCCACGTCCCCCCACCTCCAGCCTGCGGCGCCTGGGGAGGCAGTCAGTGGCAGAATATGTCGTGATGACATTCCCCTCCTTATTCCAAAAATTATCTGCACCAGTGCTGTGACTCACCTGGGAGCTGTGAGGCTGCAGTGCAGCCGGGTCCTGCGTTTCTCTTCAACAAGCCGACAAGCCAGGAGGTGCTGTTGGTCTCTGGACCTCTGTGGGTAGTGAGGCAGCAGGAGACACATCTTAACCTGGGGTACTTAGTATTAGGGGTGGGGGAACTGGCTGAGATGGAGTCAAGTGATTTTGACAAGGCACCAATAAGTGGTTCTGAAACAACTAGATATTCCTGAATATTAAAGGGTGCAACTATAACAGGTGGTCCCCAGGAAAACAGGAGGTTCCAGGTCCCCTGCCCCACCCAAAAGGAGGGTGGAGCTGAGGAGAGAAGAGAGGAATCTGGAGAGGAGGCTAAGGAGAAGGAAGCAGGATGGAGGCCAGAAGGTGACCTGAGGGAGGCACGTGGAGCAGAGGCGTGGAGAAACGGTGTTTGCTTCTTGGTCCTGGACTGGTTGAAACAGATGTGGGTGAGAGACCTGTGGGGAGGCTGACCATAGGAGCATTTATCTTAATTTTGATTTTGCTCTTTTCCTCCCAGACTTGCCTGGCCATTTCTGACCCTTTTCTATGGGTCCCAGCCAGGAGATGCTGTAGACCTGTGGTGGCCTTTCAGACCTTGCTTTGGGCCAATCCCTTTCGGGTGGACTTTTGCCCACGAGGGGATGGGTAACTTCGGGTATTTGATTTAGAAACTATATTCTTTGTCTTTTCTGTATTGCACACTCATTGTATTATAAAGTTCCTTTCCATTAAAGGAATTTGTCTTGATGCGGTGGGTGGCAGAACCTATTTAGAGCAGGCAGGTTTGGGGGTTCAGTGGTGCCCCTCTTACAGCCACTTTGGAAAACTGTGTGGCAGCTTCTTGAAAAAGTTAAACCCACATCTGTCCCAGTGATTCAGCCATTGCACTTTCAGGTAAACACCAAAAAATAAATAAATAAAAGCATCTAGTTACAATACAAGTACAAGAATATTCAAGGAACCTTATTCATAATAAGATGAACCAGGAAACAATCCAGAAGTCCTTCAACAGGTGAATGGATAAATAATAAATCTGGCACATCTGTGCAGTGGTATAATTACTCATTAGTAAAAAGATAAAGGGACGATTCAAAAATTGTCCCCATTGTGCAACATGGGTGTTGGCAAAACCTCCTGAGAGAAAGAAGTGGACAATACAGTGTGTATGGGTCCTGCGATGTTAAGGATTTTGCTGCTGTTACTCCACACAGGAACCTTGGTGCCACAGCTTATTATTATGATACAAATTGCTAAAATAACCCCAGAAGAGAAAGAAAATATTAACAGACGCATACCAAGAGTAGTTGTCAAAGAGCAGCCTCCTCAAGAAGTCCCAGATCTGCAGAAGAATTCTATACAACACTGAAGGGACAACTATCTTTAATTCTTCTAAAATGTATAAATAAAAGAACTTCAAAATTCTTTTTATGAAGTGAACATAGTATATTAAAACCTGACAAAGCAAAAAGCCAACCAGAAATCCAAAGCTAGAAACAGTCTCACTTTAAAAAAATCCTAAAGACTAACAAATTTGACCAGAATATCAAGGAAATAATACATCTGGTAAAAAGTGTATTCTAAAAGTGGTTTAATGAATGGGAATCTATTACTATAACTCCATGTAATAATCTAGAATAGGATTAAAAGCTAAATTTCATAAGCCAGAAAGAAAAGGAAAAATACCGGATGGTTTCACTCATAGCAGGAGTATAACAGCCCAGGCGAGAAAATAATAATAATAATGAACAGCCATATACCAGAGACATTTTGTGGGGGTGGAGTGGGGAATGGGATCAAAAACAGTGGGGGGAGGGAAATGCACCGGACTATGGTGATGGCACATGGGTGATGTGGTGATGGGAAGCCCATGGGGATTACAACTGAGATGGAAAAAGGCATAAAATGATGTAAAAATAAACTATTTTTTAAAAAGCTAAAATTCATATTATCTCCATAAATGCTGAAAATGCATACACATTTTTAAAATATCCTTCCGAAGTGGGGCCTCCCTGGTGGTCCAACAGGCTAAAAGCACAGCATTACAAAGCTGTTGCAGCCACGGCAGCACAAATTCAATCCCCAACCAGGGAGCTGACCCACATGGCGCAGCAGATCTTTCCTGTCTCACCTGCTGCTCCCCTCAGCAGTGCATTTCAGTAGATCCACCTGTTCTGCGCCCCACTCTGTCTCTGGTGAATCCTCTTGGCCCCCACACCTCTGGCCTGTACCCCACCCAAGAAGCCCAGTTCTTGTATGCATAAATAAATAAATCTTTTTTAAAAATAAAAACAAGACTTAACTATGTGCTCGCTAGAAACTCACATATACAAATGACATAAAGAAAATGAATGTAAAAGATTCACCAGGGAAATACTAATTAAGAAAGTGAAAGTGATTCCATTAACATCAGGGAAAGTAGACTTCAAAACAAGGAATATTACCTGAAACAAAGGGGAATCCTCATAATGACAAGAGATCCATTGAGCAAGAAGACATCAACTTTAAGTTCAAACTTGCAGGATGAGATGGCCAAGAGGAGTAGATGAGAAAAAGAAATAATGAGCAAGGACAGAGGAAGGGAGCATAAGCACAGACGATCATGGCGTAACTAGAAAGCCAAGGAAACTGACTATAAATAGAGACGGGGTGATGAGAAAATTAAATAAGGTGGCAGAGTAGATAATGACATTAAAAATTCAATGACTTTCCTATAAATATTAATAATTATAAAGCAAAATGAAGGAAACACTTCAAGCTGAAATAGCAACTATAAGATTAATACCAAATTATAAACTGAATAGGAACAAACCTATTGATATGGAAGGAAAGACTTTAAAATATCACTAAGGGTGAGATAAGCCAGAAAGAGAAAGAAAAATACCGGATGGCTTCACTCATAGCAGGAGTATAATGGACCAGGAGAGAAAATAACAAAAATAATGAACAACCATATACCAGAGACATTTTGCGGGGGTGGAGTGGGGAATGGGATCAAAAAGTACACGGGATCATGGTGATGGCACACAGGTGACTTGGTGATGGGAAACCCGCGGGGATTACAATTGAGATGGAAAAAAAAATGTACAAAATGATGTAAAAATAAACTTTTGTAAAATAAATAAATAAAATATCACTAAGGGATATTTACAGTAAACTGTAACTCATTGGAAAAGACAGTTTAAGACTATAGATCTGTCCATGCTCTCTAAAATAATCTCCAAATCCAATGCAATACTAATTAAAACATAGAAAGTATGTACAGGGAGATTATTAATGCTACTAAAATTAGTCAGGAAAAATAAGCACGGGCAAACAGCAGGACACTTCTTTATTTTTGTTGTAATATAATAGTTTATTTTTACATCATTTTGTGCATTTTTCCATCTCAGTTGTAATCCCCGTGGGCTTCCCATCACCGAATCACCCGTGTGCCATCACCATAGTCCAGTGCACTTCCCTCCCCCCACTGTTTTTGATCCCATTCCCCACTC